ATATTTTCCTCTAAAAAATTCCTCACAAGGAGACAAACAGTGAGTTATGCTCATGTGACTATTAGGGAGAACATTAGTTGTAACAAATAAAATAGTTAATAGTTAATAAACAAGAGTTCAATACTTGATAATCAATGAAAATATTCTCAACAAGATGAGATCAGATATCCATCTTCAGAATTTCCAGCAATCCTACCAAGAAGGCAGACAGAAGTTAGCAGTCACACACAGAGCTTAGTCAAACCTGACCTCATTGTCAACAGTTCGGCAACATGCAATAGAAAAATTCATTAGTAAACGGTAAGTCTTTAACCGAAGTCTTGTAGTAAATACCCAGATGGAGAAGACCAAAAAACATAACGTATAGTTAAAAGAAATCTGGATTAAGGTTAAAAAACACAACAGGGTGAAGGAACAAGTAAATGACAGTACTGTCAATCAATATTCTTTAGAGGGGTTCTTTCCATTACAATCCGTGTTCGGATTTTTGTTACTCCCGTTTGCCTAATTATGGTGACGAAATCAGACGAAAGATTTTTATTCATAGCATATTCATCTGTTCTTTCGGAGTGGAATCAGATCAACGAGACACTAGGGAAGGTTATATATATATATATATAACTTTTTGATTACCTAGGCGGGAAATCACAATCGATCATAGTTTGCTTCACTCTGCCTGATTATTTTAGCACAAGAAATAACTCTCTACTGCAGGCACAACTTCGAGCGGCAGCTGGATCAGGGAAGTTTTTGTAGTTGAATGGGACGAGATGGTTAGTGTTTTTCCTAAGTTTCCTTTTCTAATATGTGTGAATTCGGACGCGGCAGTCATTTAAAAAGGCTATTTTACCGGTGGATTACAGTTGTCATGAACAAGTCCATGTCTAATAATAGTAATGCATCGTTTAGTTCGAATACTAGGCTCGACTAAGCTCTCGAAATATGAGTATATACTAAAACTTTTGTAGTCTGGACATGCTCATAATGACGTATTTATAGTATCACGTCAAAGTGTAATGCGAAAAGAAGTTTATTCAGAAGACGGTTTATTGAAATGACTTTCTTTTGCGACTCAGCGGGAAATTTTATTAGATTGAAGGTATTCGGAAATGCGATGGAAATTAGAAAAGACAAAAAAGTTGCTTCATGAGTACTTTGTAGATACTCTTTATCCATACTAGTTGCTACGGTTATTTATAATGATAATTCATTCTCAAATAACAGTCTGTCACATGAGGCATGCCATTTTACAGGCATGGTCAAATTGTTACTGAAGGTAAAGTCTCCACTGCGGTGGGTTACTCAGTCAGTTTGATATTTTATAAGGTGCACTGATCATAAAATTATGTAAGATAAAACTTCGCACATATGAATGCAAATAATATCAGGAAGATTCGTATTGTCAGTATGACAGTTGCCGCGCTCTATGGAGATTGCATTGCGACATGAAGCTGATAGTCGGAAGTAAATCCGCGCAATTTTGGGAGCTTTTATAAATCGTAGTGCCATATCCCTCTGGAACATCTGAGGCACTAATAATGGCGCAGGATGAAGTAACCCGTTCCATATGCATTATCGGTGGCATATCTTCAAAGAGGGAAAAATAAAGGACGAGAAGAAAATCATGCAGTGTTATTATTACTATTATTCACAGACATCTTATGGGTACATATGTGTTGTGAAGAAACCATTTCGGGTTTCTTCAAAAATGAAATAATACACAAGTTTCAATAATGTTAGACGTCGTAATGAATCCAAGTGCTTGCTTCGAAAAACAATAATTATTTCAAATATATAAACAATTTTTGATAACTCAGAAATGACTCTGTATATTAATTAGAAAATCATGTTAAGCAAACTAGTTTTTAGATCCTAAGTGCTTCTTGAACTTGCAGCAATACTGAAAAGGTTGGTCGATAATACTAAGTGATTTAGGTGCTCATCACGATTTTGTCTCAAGCTACCTTGCGCAGCGGATTTCAAGTGTGATCTGAAGTCCTTCTGTTGTCAAAAATGTACTCACGGAACTCCATCTTAAAATATTTTTACTCCCGTATCCGGGCACGGTGCATGAAATTTTGTTTCAGTATCCTAGAGGTACTAGAATGACACGTTCGGAAAGAAAATCATTAAGGAGACTTCTGAACCGGGCTGTAGTTTCGCTGCAACGGAGGTTAACTGGCAGTCTGTTCTACATGGTTGAGCAGCGAATAACGAAAAAATTATGGCGCAAGTTTGTGTGGGTTCCTAAAATCGCTAGAATATTTTCCTTACTGCGTAAATTGTGGGATGATATCATAGAGCATGAATGGGTGGATACCGAAGAGTAGGAAACACCGTTAATAAGCCGGTAGATAAAGACAAGGTTTAATTTGATACATCAGATCCTGAGAGGTTCTAATTTGAGTTGTTGACATGTTTGGTGATAGTCTTTGTAGTCGGAATACCCCAGTACAGCTTTGGTGAACCATTTTTGAACAACTTAAATTTTACAGATTGAAATCATGAGTCAGTTGAAGCTAGACCACCATTGAAAACCTGGAAGCACTGGACGGCCGTTACGTCCTGGTATGGGACTCCTCAGCAGTGCCCATCCACGAACCCGCATCACCCGGGGCTCGAACCCAGGACCTACTGGGTTCTAGTGAGAAGTCGTTACCAGTGGAGTTCAACCAGGTCTGTTGTGAGATAGGAACTCACTGAAGACAATGGTGTACGGTAGCGCAACTTCGTGGATTGGTTGAAGTTAGACATTAACACCGTTGGATGCCGGCTCAGTGGTCTAATGGTTAAGTGCTCGCGCGCGAAGCCAGTAGGTCCTGGGTTCGAGCCCCGGGTGGTGCGGGTTCGTGGATGCGCACTGCTGAGGAGTCCCATACCAGGACGAAACGGCCGTCCAGTGCTTCCAGGTTTTCAATGGTGGTCTAGCTTCAACTGACTCATGATTTCAATCTGTGAAAATTTCTAAAAATCTCCACAAAACACATTCTGATAACTTAAATTTTAATCAAGTCATTATGCCTGCAATTACTGCCAGCTAAAATGCCATATTCAGGAATGGGTAAGATACATTTTCTGTATAATAATAATCTCGATTCGGCACTATCAAAATTTATCCTTGTGAGTTCGATGAGCTCTCTAGCTTTGGATACTTGAGATGCAATGTGCTCAGAAAAGTTCAGACTGTTGCTATATCATAAATCCAAGTCACGAACAGTGTTGAGAGGTTGTTTAAGAAATTGTTTGTTTTCACAAGTGCCGTTATGGTCTTTTCGACTATTCTTCCCAGTATTTTAACTACGACAATGCTGAGACTGACAGGTCTGTTGTTCTATGCAATTTGTCTTGCTCCTCTTTTATGTGTTGGAGTGACGATTGCAACACTTCTGTTCGTAGGTAACACACCTTGGTCAAGTGACATATCGAATATCACAGTTCGTGGGGCTGCAGTATATTATGCAATTTGTGTTGGGATTTCGGGGTGTAGTTCATCCTATCCTGTTGACTTTTCAGTGTCTAAAGTGCCAAGAGTCTTAAGTACATCGTCTTGATGAAAGTCCACGATGAAGAGATGGACTGTTGACTTTGTATTTGAGTCTAGTCCTTCGTCCAGAAGTGATTCCTGACTGAAAAATGCCTCAAGATGGTTTGCCATAGCCTGTGCTTCTTCCTGATCATCCTCTACCATCCCAGCTCCACTCCATTAATTAGGTTGGGAATCCAATGCTGAGTCCTTTTTCTGTCATTTATATACGATAGTAGTCTTTTCGTCTGCGTGAACACAGGTTGTACCGACTTCATTCCATATTTCCTGTGAGCTTCCCGTATTGTGATTATGCACTTATTTCTCGCCAGCTTGTAGAGTTCCATATTGCTTGCTGTATCAAGGTTGATGGTAACGTTCCAACATTTCTTCTTTTGTCTTAGTAAACGTCGAAGTCTCCGGCCTATCCAGGAATGGCCTTGTTTCTTCTACGGGACTGGCCAGGGTATATACGGTTGAGTTACCCGATTATGTAACTGCCCGAAATGAGTCCATGTTTCTTCTGCTGATGCCCTTGAGTCAATTTCCCAGTTTTTAGCCGATGCCACAGAGTTGATTGTCTCCATATCATATGTTAGGACAGGTCAGCAAAACAGTTTGACAGGCCATATCAGCCATGAATTTGAGTAAGATGATTGCATGATCACTTCTTCTCAGAGGTGGGAGGGTAGTCATCTGACCACAGCATGCTCTGCACAACTTACGTGATAGTGGCCTGCAGCACATTTTATATGCAGCTGGTGTGATTCCGGTGCACACACTGTGATAACAGTTATTGCAGTCGTCACATTGCACTCCATCATCAACAGGGAAATAGATCGCAGGTCTGCCACAAATTTGTTTTGTGACTTCACAGGAAGAATAACAGAGGAAACTGATATCTAGTAATGGTGTTTTTTAGGGCTTGACAGGTGATAGACACTGAACACAAACAAAAACAGAGGTTTGTGTATTACTGTACTTAACAACAAAGAAGAAATTCGGCTTCTGTAGTTACAAAAAGACCTTGAAACATTTGGATGCAAACATACTAAAAGATATACTCAAAAAGGAAAAAATACCAGTGCCGTTTTGTGTCTGTACTCAAAAAGTTCAGACGATGAACTTCTCTAGAATAAAGTTATACTTTTGGAGATAACTTTAACTGAAATAAATTCAGTTCAGGCGGTTAGTCTGGACTAGTAATTAAACAATCAATACCATACCATATAAAATATATACCAGTGTCCTTTTTAAATAGCGCGACTAATGTTTAACTACGACACTGTAAACCGCAAATTTATGGAACATTCCTATTGAACTATAAACATCCGGATTTGTTATCTACCTAGTGCTTTTCAACAAGATATTTTGGTAATAATCGCCTTTTTTTAATGGATCAAGTATGTTACGTATGGTATGACCTGAAGCCGCCACGTTCGAATGTCTCACGAGTTATTGTCAAACCTCAGTTGCAATGAGGTTTGCTAACTTTTTTGGCCTTACGATTATCAACTTGTTTTGGATAGACTTTCACTATGCATATCCTTCCACTTCCAAAAACAGCAACCCCACCAATTTTAGGCGTTGGTTAAACCTCTTAAATATGGATATGTCTAGTAGTGACAAGAAATTGCTTGCTAACTCGATTTATGACATGTTTAGTTTCGCATATGATAGTTACTTAAAATATGGGTTCCCTTATGATGAACTAAACCCGATTGACTGCGTTGGCCGTGGTTATGATCACGAAAATCCTGATAATATAAATGTGAACGATGCTCTTGGTGACTATCTACTTACGCTTATAGACTCTCTCGATACATTGGCAGTAAGTGATATACAGTTATTTACTTAGACTTCAGATCATGGGCAAAACCGAAGATTTTAGAAATGCAGTTAGTTTAGTAATAAAACACCTTTCGTTTAATCAAAAGACAAGGGTTCAAGTTTTCGAAGCAACTATTAGGTAAGCTACTAGTCAATTGTATTGTCTCAGAGTTCTAGGAGGTCTTTTATCAGCACATATAATCATTACAGACCCAACTGAGTCATTTGGCCATCTGCGACCACCGGGATATGATGATGAATTACTGAACCATGCACATAATCTAGCGAACCGGATGCTGAACGCTCTTTACGTAAGTTTTCCTCTTAACACTTTTAACAATCATCTATCAACCTGTAAGTAATTCGGATTCCGTATAAGATCCACCAGGGCTTTCTCAAAGATGACCAGACCAGATTAGACTTTAAAGCTGTCTTCAGTAATAAGGATACTAGGTTGGTGAACATGTGTTAATCCTGACAGATTGCCTTCCAGTGAAGATCCACCTTCTCCTTAAAAATATTCACTGATGGGGCTGATACCACTTGTTCGGATAAGGCGTTCCAGCGATTGAATACTCGATGAAAGAATCGGGACCCCACTTTAAGTTTATTAGGTCGCGGTTTATGAACCTTCTTGCTATGATCTCAGAGATTATTAGTGCTGGACGGAGCGAGAAGAAAAGACATATTAACACCCAAATCATGATCTAAGATATGAAATGCCAGTATAAGGTCACCTCGCGTCCTACGATACGACAAGGTAAAAAGGTTTAGGCGTTTTAAGCGCTCATTGTTAAGGACTTTAGAAAGACCCTTCACTAATTTTGTTCCCACACGCTGAACACGCTCAAGTGAGTTAATATCCTTTATCAGACATGGACCAGTTACTTGGTACAGTACTCTAAGTGTGGTCTTACATAGGTGAAATATGAAATTCGAAACATTTCCTCGTCACAGCATTTGAATGCTAGGCGAAGTGACCATAACGCACGAAAACCTTTGACAACAGCTGCATTGCAATGCGTAGTTTTTTTCAAGTCATGGCTTATTATTACTTCTAAGTCTTCATGTTCTTGAACGCGTGGAAGAGATGTACCATCATTAGTATAATGGTAACTATTACCATGTCCGATGTGCATGAGTACTTCTAAGCACCAACCTCCAGCCCGTCTAACTAAATCGTCTAAGTCAGCTTGGAGATCCAAATGACCAGCCTCACGTTTTGTTGTTCTCCAGATTTTTACGTCATGCGCAAACAATAATGTCGACGACTTAAGCAACAGCGGTAATTCACTAATGTGGCTAAGGAAAAGTAAAGGGCTAAAGATGGTGTCTTTAGGTACATCATTTTTGACTGGCTTGCATTCGGATAGCGTTCCACTGATCCTTAAGGATCAATCACATAAGAAGTTTCCTATCTATTCTTGTACAGCACTTGTTATTCCGAAACTCGAGAGCTTCTGCATAAGACCTGAGTGTGAAACGTTGTCAAATGCTTTGCTAAAATCTATGAATATCACATCGACAGACAGACCGTTATCTAAGACTACTGTCCAATCCCCTCTCACAATAAGCAAGTTAGTCAAGCATGAACGCTTGTTACGAAATCCATGTTGCTCGAGATTTAAGAGATTGTGTGAATCTATGTGGCTTAACAACGTAACCTGAATTATCTTTTCAAGTAACTTAACGGCAATGCTAGTTAGACTGGCAGGCCGGTAGTTAGATACGATCTGTTTCTGACCATCCTTAATATATACTGTTGTAAGGAGATACCACCGAACTATGTACACTTCGTTTAATATAAATCAATGTGACTGATGATTCTGGTATACTTTGTTAAGAGTAATCCTCCTGAGCCATGTTCTACTAATCACCTCTGGTTCCTCCCATACTTGCTTACTTTTTCGAAAATCGGATTCATCTCATTTAGATGATGACATTACTAGGTGTAACTCACCAAGTTCAAATTTGTATATTTTATTTCGAGCCGTACTTTTAGTTATAAGAGCTAGTCATACTACCCGGCTTCCCAGGCTATAGTAGCTCGATTGGGTTTCTAACCTGAAATATGGTCGTTTAAGGTTGAGTGTCTTTACCGCCTGCCCAACACTCTGATAAGCTCTTTAAAGAATGCCAGGAATCAGCTAGACCGTTATTTTGAGTGTTCTGTTTGGTTATTTGCAAGGGTGGTTAATTTTCCATGTTTTTAGTCAGTTCCGGAACGTTATTTCGAACCCTACTTTCGGCTTTTGAACACCATTTTGACGCTATTGTATTTATTCGTTTCATGCTTTGATTTCAAGGACACACCAACTGGGATACCTTACCCCAGATTTCACCTAGATTCTGGCCTGAAAGATAATACAACAACTGAAAACTGCCTCGCCGGTGCTGGCTCCTTATTACTAGAATTCGGCTCCTTAAGTGCATTACTCAATGATTCTAGTTACGCTTCGATAGCTCGCCGCATTGTTTTAAATCTATGGAAAAAGCGTTCAAGTGTTTCTGGACTTTTCGGTAAGTCTTACCTTCTTGTCTGTTGTTTATGGTCCAATAACTCACTTTATTTTTTTGCAAATATTTAGTCAGCACATGCAAGTAAATAATTAAATGGCTCTTACTCTATTAGATTCCATTTGACTCACTTGTGTCTTACCAAATATTGTCATGTTTTAGAATTAGTACGATTATGTTATATGCATGTATATTATTATATATCATTATTTGAAAGTTTATTCAGAATTAATAACAAAATTGGTTATCCGATTTTAAAAGATCCTCTTACATTGTATTCACTTACTTATGTTCAATATGTATTATTAATTTGTGATAGTTGCATGAGAGATTACATTATATGGTCTTGTATTTCAAACTTCTTGCTACCTGAACAATCAACTAGGTGTGAAAAGTGTTAATACTAATCATGAGATTAGTAAACGATAATAAAAACGAAAACAAAAAAAGGACGAATCGAGTGAAGATATTTTTTTCCAATAAGTTTTTGATCACGAAATAATACTGATCATGTAATTACATGACTCAATAATGGGAATTTTCACTAGTTTTGAAAATAGTCATTTTTACTTTTGCGAATAGTTTGTTGTCGTTTGTATTACTCATACATATTAAGATGCCTTATTGTCATAAATTATGCCACTTCTGAATTAATCAGCAATTAATTAATGGGGTAGTAAAACAATTAGTTTTAAAAACACACTTATGTTACTTTCAGCGCTTGAAGTCACTAATTTCTGGTCTGAGCCATGTTGGTAGATACAGACTGCTTAGTTGGGGTCCGCGTGGCTATCATAATCAGTGGTTAGAGACTCTTGGTGACATAGCTCAGGATCGATCACAATGGCGTAGGTGTATACACTCTGTCTTCCCTTAAACTATAAAAATTAAAATCTCTTCATATCTTTCTATGAACTAATTCTTTCTTCCTGTACTATATCCTTATACACAATCTTTCTTTTATATATTACTAGCATTGAAGTAACTACTGCTATGAATCCGGTGTTCACCTTATTGTGCTAATGAGGTATGGTAACTTGGACCGATGCACATATGTGCCTGAGTTACATCTTTTCTTTATGTTCTTCAGCATGAGAACTTGTGCAAATGTAATTTTTCTTACATTAAATTAATACAAAACATTTCAGTTTATTTTTACATTTATTTAGTACCCATCTATTTAGCTGTTTTGTTCCTCAAAATTTCAATTATCAAATAACTGTATAGTTTACAATATAAGCATCTGACACTTCAACTTCTTTTTAAAAATCTAAAAGACATTCATGACTCTTTCATTTTCTAAGATCTTTTGTTTGTATTGGAAAAGTTTTCCAAATCAGTGTTTGATCTACATTTAATAATCGGTTAAGCTAAAACACTTTATTTCGAACCGTTTGTTTGTTTCTTGTTTCAGTTGAAATTTACATTAATTCTCATTCTTTTCTTTCATGTGACTAAAAGGTTATATGGTACAATTTTAAAATAATAAAGGAATGAATATCAACTAGCACTGACCTAATTTTCATTACAATCATATATAACAGTTATGATCAGAGACGAAAATATCAAATTAAATTTAGACAAATCTTTAAACTATAAAAATCTCAACTCAATTTCGTGATAGCTTAATATTTCCTTTGTATATTATGAGTCCTTGAAGCCTTCCAATATCATTCTAATTTATGTAAGCTTGCAATATACAACTCGGAGGATGTTAAACCGGCAATTCTTTCTTCATTTTACTTCTCCCTATCATCTGTTCTGTTAATTAGTTTTATGGTCGTTTATATTTTATTCTCTTAAATGATAGGTGAATTTCAGTGTCGAAAAGTAAGATCGATCAGCTTTTGTATTTTAATATCTAATTGAGAGTTTGTTGGGAATGTGTAATCCAATAGTTAAAACTTATGAGAAGCGAATCATTTTCGTCTAGGTTGAAATTTTATTACAGTAAATTATTCAGTGATAAACATGATTGATCAAATTACATTTCATTTGTAAGACGATTTATGTTAGTAACGAATGCGCCTGATTTGAATATTCTAATAGTTTTTTATTAACATATAGTTGATAAATTTATTGTATATTGATTGTTTATACTGAGTTAACATGAGAAAGTTTGATGTACTATACTGTTATTTTTACTCGAGTTAGTGGACGAAGAAAAGAAGCGAATAGAAGTAGCTTTGTTCACAGTATTAGAGTAGTGAATTATTCACGCAGCTTAAGGATATATCAAAGTTAAATGTTTCATCAGATTTTTCTGTGCTTACATAGCTGTCCAATGTGGTCTTGTGATATTCTTTGAATAATCGGCTTATAATTCATCTTTACATTGCTTGCTTGAATCTTCCCATTGATGTTTAGAACTGCAATTGATCTAAACAAACAATAAAAAAAGGAATTTAAACTTCGCCCCGTTGCGTAAGCTAGTAGCTATCTGGACTCAGTAGCTAAATGCATAACATGATGATGTTTGAAGCGGATGTTTCTGGGTTCGAGTCCTGGAGTGAACATCAACTCTGAAATCCAGGTATATCCAGCTGACGAGTCCTAAGTAGGACGAAATGCGGGTCCTGGATTCCACTGCTAACTACCATCCATGTTTGCTTATAATCGGCTTGTACTTTTTTGCGAAACGTCAGGGTTCACTTCTCGATGTATTGTAAGATTACAAATATTGTCCATTTATCAAAGTAACTATGATTAACTCTGGTCAGTTTAAATCTTAGGGATCAGTTACTGTAAATTATCAACATTTCATAAGGTTTGTAAATTTAAGTCTTTTCATCGTGGGCCATCATGGATTGGTAGCCTAATTAGTTAAAGCACACAAATTTTAACCAATAGATTTCACGTTGCAGCCTCTCTCCACTTGTTTCACTGGTCTTCACACAACTATATTGTCCCTAAAAGCGATTGAAGAATACCACTCCTGGCAAAACAATTACATTGAAATGTATGCTGTAATTATTTTGTTACACATTGTTCAAATTAGTTGAATCAGTGCTGGACACTTTTTATAAAGTTGATCGGGAAATAGGTAGTTTGTTTATAATTCGGCGTACTGTTTGATTGACGTGTCATAACTCCGTATGTGTTTATGTCATATTAATTTATTCGACTGTAAGTCAGTGTATGCACATTAAGCCGCGGCGTAATTCACTACTATTCGATCATCGATATCTTCTGAATGTTGTCTAACGAGTGACTATTGTCATATCAACCAAATAGTGTAAAAAGTACTCACTATAACCGTTTGTTTCACCTCGTACAAGGCAATAGTGACTACTAATATGCCGTGTAATATTTATTCCAGCAACTTTGAGAAAAAAAATTGTTTTTTAATTGTTTGGCATTTGTACAGGCTCAACAATCGATGTGGATTCAGGTGAATGGATAAATCGAATGAGTGGTCTCGGTGCTGGACAAGATTCATTTTTTGAATATTTACATAAAGTAAAATAAAATTTTAGCCTCTGTTACTAATCTTTTTTTGATTTCGCCTATATATATATATATATATATATATATATATATATATAATGTCTTCATCGACAGAGATTTTCATAGATGTGTTGGCCCAAGTTACCAAGATCGCTTATTAGGGATAACATAAGAAAAACTAAGCGTTGAAAATTAATTTCGAAAATACAGTGATAATGTGTATATGAAGGGATATTAGAATTCAAAATCGAGAACAAAGTAACTAGTGAATTAGTCCATTCTATTTTGAATGGTTCTATGTCACTCAAAGTCTCCAATCTCTGGTCCTGATTATAGTGCGAACCCCAACCAGGTAGTCTAAATAAACGAAAATAGATCAGACTATCAGTCAATGACTAATGCTACTTTTTGGTTTGACTCCTCTAAATTTCTCCTGACCGAACCCTATGTCAGCATATATATGTAATTATTAGAGGATTGAAAACTTCTGGGTATTCTGACATATTTTTTGTCCTATTCTAGGGAATGCTTAGTAGTGCTTAACCTATTGCCTACATGAAATAGAATCTGAGACAATCATTAAATCACGTGTTCTAGTCTCGTTTCTCTTAATTCGATGTGAGAGATTGAGAATGATTGTCGTTATTCGCTCGCCTAAATAGCGTAACCCAATATTTGTTTAAACAAGTTTGTGCCTAATAAATGAATTACAAAAAGGCCACAAAGAAAATTATTTCCAAATGAATTGATTATTCCCAAATAATCAAAATGATCAATCATGGTTATATATCACACCATTCTCTGTTTAATATGATTTTCAGACTAAAGTTATTTTCCAAAAAAATATAGATTGTTTTTAACAAATACCCTAATGTCAGTGCACTGATATTACATTGATCGAGTGTACAATAAGGTTAAAAATGATTCGATCTATTCTAGTATATCATCATTTCCAAGAAACATTAACTGTATTGTACACCAATAGCCATATTGAAAGTTATATAACTGGAGAAAAAAAATCTATATCATAATATTATTATCATTAAAGCTTATTGTAAAAATGAAATTTAATTAAATATTGTATATTCAGGATTTATTACCATCAGTACAAATTGAATCACAATATCAGGTCATTTAACCCAATGGATTGTATAGCAAATCAGCTGTTAGGACGAACTGACTACTTATCAATCAATGGAATGGTTCATTTTTGTCCTTCAGATCTTTGGAAACCGGAATATTACAATGGTATCTCGTTTGAAATCTTATATCATCGGCTAGAATCTCGCAAGCATATATATATATATATACTCTCAGTTTGTACCTTCTTATTCAGTTTTCGTTAATAATATTGTTCATTTTAGGCATATATTCTATTTGGTGATAATCAATTGGGACAAATGTTCAATGAGGCATTAAGTAGTATTCAACATCATTTACGTACTGGTCGACCTCAATGTTTATCTGGTAGTGGTTCACCACCAATCTATTGGAATGTTGATATGTCTTCTGGTAATAAAGTCAATCATTGGATAGATACATTACAGTCAGCCTGGTCTGGTGTATTAGTAAGTTTATTTCTTAATAATGTCATAATCTTATCAATTAATTTATAACTCCTCCATCCTAGCAATATCGATGAAAATATTAACCTAAAAGTAAACACAAGAACTAATGTAACATAAAACACTCTTCAAAGGAAACTATATTAAACCTCCAACAGCTTTTTACCCTCTCCTCAACTCATTAGAAACAAACCAAAGTAAAAGGTTCATTCACATCCTATCTGGCAACGATACAGAGAAAAAAGTATGAGTATTTCTATGGTTATGTTAGTGTCTTTGAAGACCAGTTATTTAATATCAAAGTTTTATAGCGTCTGGCCGACTGCTTGCAGGCACCGTTTAAACATTCAAAATGATGATTTTCAAAGATATCCACCTTTATTCTGGTTCTGGTTGAATTTTTTATGAAATAATACATTTCTCAGCCGGTTGTTTACGGTTGACTTTTTTAATCAAACTGCTGCAACGTTATGCTGATCGAATTGCCTAGTTTATTTATGCATTTTGAGTACTATGAGCTTAGTCGGTAGTGTTGAGCAGGATAAGAATTTCAAGGACCAAAAAACTATTACTTCAAATTTTAAGCTTACACAAAATCAAATTTTTAATAGTGGTCAATTATATGGTCACTCATACGTAGAGTACAACCTTGTACATCTGTACTGGCTCATTTCACCACATCACATTAACACAGAGAGATAAAAACGTCTAAAACAATATCTATGTATCCAGAAAGAGACAGTAATAAATCTTTCTTTGTCCTCGTAGTATTACATCTTTTTGGTTACACCACTGTCATTTTTCTTTAATTCATCATTAACTGTTTTCAGCTCATATCTTTATTACCATTAATCTGTTCTCATTTAGTTCATTACAAAATCATCTACTGTTTGTGAACTCTATGATTTCTTATCACTAGTTTGATGTTCAGGAAATCTCCTTCTCAAACTTTATTTATTTACCCGGAAACAAACGATTTTTGTGACCTTATTAACTATTGGAACCTTCGCTACATTATGATATACATATTTATGTTTAATCACCCTCGTATGTATAAGTATGTCAATATTTATTATAACTTTAATTTTGAAATAGTATAGGTTGTAAGCAGCTGACGAGGACTTCGCAACATAAAATGAACTAATATTATTCTGCACCAATCTTCATGTTTGTCCTCTTCGAGAGATAGCCCAGTCAGCTCATTTCGATTTGATCCTGATTAATAGCTAGGGATTTATCCCGCTAGTACTTATATGCATTTGAATAGTTTATAGTTTAATAATAGAAAAAACAATCTATGCTGTTTACTTATAACTTCTCTCTATTTATTATGATTATTATTAATGTAGGTTCTTCATGGTGATCTAAATGAAGCAATTTGTCATCATGCTGTACATTATTTCATTTGGAAAATTTATGGTTTACCTCCAGAACGTTATAATATTATGACTGAGAAACCCGAACTGTACTTCTATCCACTTCGTCCAGAATTTGCTGAATCGACATACCTTTTATATAGAGCGACGAAACATCCTTTTTATTTACATGTTGGCAAAGATATTATGGATGGTATCAATAAATATACTAAGGCCGAGTAAGTTTCACATATGTGGTTAGTAACTGTTTGTCACATAAGTTTAACTCTAGGACTTGAGAAATAGACTATTGTAATGAGACTGGAACTGAACTATATTATATCTTGATGCCAGAAAGAAGACAAACATTGCTGAAAGATAAGGAACTATTTGTCTGTTAACAATTAAAAACGTTCTTTTATCTTACCGATACACTCATATGCGAATAACATATATTAACTACTTGTCAACAAAATTCGGACTGATTCGGTACAAATGAGATATCGTACTCGATTTTGTAAAACCATAAGCCACGCTAAATTATGCACATTGAAATGTTATACAGAAATAGTAGTATCCTCAAGAAAATATCACTACTTGATGTCGCACTTGGCGGCCCCCTTAACACTTATCTACTCTAATTTGATTTTGTAGAGGATTCTTTCCAATTCGAAGGACCAAAGATGACATTTGGTGTACAAATTGAGTTGTCAGACATATGTACGAATAGCAAACAGACTTACTATGGACACTACTATTTGATAGCATCTCCAGTCATTACTGCATTGCCTTGTTAATTAGACCTTTAGCTCAATGGCTTGTCACCTAAGGCAACTGATATAACGTTAAGTTAGTGTGATAAATAATTTGACACAAACGGACTAAGTAAGCAAGAATGAGACACGCCTTAATCAATAACTTAGTATATTCGACTCAGTATAGATTGATTGACAAAAAATATGCAAAGATAGAATACAACACAAAAAAATAAGGTAATATATATATACATCATGTGTGTCAGTCCTACGATGTGACTAAGGCTATAAGGATATATTTATTTGACTAATAGAAATACCATCCGACCAACTCGAATCTGTTAGGTTCAACGTGTACACGAGAAATTATCTATCTCATTTTCGGTTGTTTGTATAGTATCCTAGCCCTCACACAAACATAATGATTATACTAATGAATACAATGAACTGCTTGTCATGTGCACTCACCCTATGTGATTACGGTTACTTGTAAATTATCAGTTCAATATTATCATGCTACAACAACTTAGTATTACACATCATAGTTCCAGTCGTTTATAGAATAAGCTTAGGAAACCGTTAAAAACTAGGGAGTACTTAACAGCCGTTTTATTCTAGTATGAAACATCACCTGCGATCGAACCCAGGATATCCGGGTTGTAGGGTGAGTACTTAACCTTTAAGCATCCGTGTTGGCGTCCAATCATTTACATTTTAAATATCAGTCAATTCGCAATATTGTAGACCATCCTCTGATGCCGTTGGTGGATAAGTAGCTTGCACCCGACATGGTTGAATTCTACTTCTCACTCGAATTTCAAGAAATCACCTCTTGAAGATAGTCACTAATGGATACATTATGTTACTATTATATTATAATACTGTATAATAATATAATGTGCTTGCTTTGTTTCCCAGATGTGGATTTGCAACTATTCATAATGTAATTGATAAATCTAAAGAAGATCGTATGGAAAGCTTTTTTCTAAGTGAAACATTGAAGTACTTATATTTGGTAAGTTCAATAATACGGCTACTTACTTACGCCTGTTACTCCTCATGGAGAAGCATAAGCCGCCCACCAGCACTCTCCATCCAACCCTGTCCTGGACAATCCTTTCCAGTTGTTATTCATTCTTTTCATATCCGCATCTATCTCCCGACGTAATGTGTTCTTTGGCCTTCCTCTTTTCCGCTTCCCTTCAGAATTCCAAGTTAGGGCTTGCCTCGTGATGCAGTTTGACGATTTGCGTAGTGTACGTCCTATCCATTTCCATGGTCTTTTCCTAATTTCTTCTTCAGCTAAAAGTTGGTTTGTTCTCTGCCACAGTAGACTGTTGTTGATAGTATCCGGCCTCAATAATACAGTTATTTAGCTATAATTCATTTAACCTTGAAGTTCTCTTTACTTCAACCTCACAAATATTTTGTCCTTAAAAAGAACATTTCTGTTAGCATATGAGTAAAAGATTTTGTAAAATGAAGAAATATCTGTTTAGTATTAAATAGAAAATAGATTAGACAACGTGTGAGTCTTGTTGGGGAATGGAGGTGGTTACTTCGTGAAGAACAATTGAAACTGTCCTATACTTCGTGTCTTGATAGTGCAGGAAATAATTTACTGAGTGCTGCCATTTTAAAGTAATAGATGTTGTCCCTTGATCATGTTCATGCATGTTTTCTCAGTGACTTTTGTACATATTAAGAGACGATAAAATATGTTTGAAAATGTATGGCGACCTGCTTAAATATCTGGGCTACCTGTTGCTGCCATCTAGATGCTTCAACAAGTTATCTAATTTTACTTGTTTTAATAAACCCTTATGGCTATTAATCGCACAACCTATTCAAGTGCGTTTCTGAAAAGTGTACAACCTTTCGTTGTACAAGATACAAAAGATCTAGTCAGAGATATCGTGGTTGCTGGCAATATACAGCGAAAAGAATGTACATTATTTAGATGTCGATTGACTGAATTGCTAACTTCTAACTAGCGATCACTCAATATTTATCGTCAGGATCTACCAAGTAAAAAACGGAAACTTGTTGAAATACTTTGTGCTGAGAATTCTATATTCTACCAAAAGTATAATCTTGAATAAAGCTAATAATAATATTGACAGTAATAATATTTCACGGAAATTTGACTCTAATTACACAAAATAAAGAATTTGTAAGAGTCATAGTTTTAAATTTTTAGACCACAGTATAGTAGGTTCAGACGTTATAATAATTGCATCCTATATATTCGTTTTCTAAGGCCATTTTCGAAAATACATAACTAATGACTTACCCAATCATCATTGAATGGAGTGTGAGTATACATAGAGTAGGTCAAGAATTCACGGTTGGTGCGTAGTACCAGTTCGGCCTAAATATATATTTTGTATTGCTTCCATTTATTACATTACTCTTCGGTTTACTAGTTTATTAATATTTTGCCTTGGGTATCTGGACTCGGGGCATAACATAACACACTATGGGAGATTTTCAGTTTTTCAAAAATTATTTTCATCTTCTGCAATACTGTTATTCTCCTCCAGTAAATTTGGACTTTTCTATCTACTGGAATTTCCCGTATGATAAGATGTCCTTCATTTTTACGGCAACTGAAAGTGATACTCCATGTACTACCGTCGTCGTTGTAAGATGCTGACCCTGTTTATGCATTTATGCGCGATTTATGTTCCGCATGTTGCCCTTCTAGGATTGCTGCCGGTCCGGAGCCCGGATGAAGGAGGAGGCTTGAGGATGGGTTTCGTAAACATCCCATAGAAAACAAAATTGCTAAATGAACGCTAACCAGAAAAATTCATTTAAACTCTACCGTGGGAGTCAAAGGATCTTCATTTAGAAGAGTTATGACGCCTCATAATGGAAGCCCAGATTCTTCGAAAGTCACGAGGCCGATGCCCCTTCCAACAACTAGACCAGCAATTAATATAGGTACATGGAATATCGGGACAATATGGGAGACCGGGAAGACTAGTCAAATAGCTACGGAAGTCAGGAGATACAACTTGGTGGTGTTCAGAATAAGTGAAACCGATTGAACCCTATCTGGACACAAAAGACTAGATTCGGAAGAGTTGTTGTTGTACTACGTTCATGAAGAAGGAAATACCTCCCACACACAGTGAGTTGCACTGATGTCCAAAGAGGCACGATAAGCACTTAAATAATGGGAATCCCATGAACCCGTAATCATCAAAGCATCTTTCAAAACAAAGAAGGAAGTAATCGCAATGAGTGTTTTCAGTGCTATACACTCACCAATGATATCAATGACGACAATTAAAATCAGTTTCATGGAAGACTGCTCAGGAAAGGAACTGACCATCCTGATGGGAGATCTAGACGTCAACGTCGGAATGAACAACACCGGGTATGAAATTATCATGGGACGACATGGACTGACTGGGAGAAAGGGACGAGAATGGTGAGAGACTTGCACACATTTATGTGCATTCAAAAAGATGATTATAGGCAGTACAATATTCTCCCACAAACGCATATACAAAGCTGTATGGGTCTCACTGGACTGCACTACAGAGAACTAGGTCGATCATATTTACTTCAGTAAAAAATTCAAATGGTCAGTGAATGATGTGAAAACAAAGGGGGTGGCTGACCTAGCTTCAGACCACCACCTGGTGGTTGCCAAGACGAAACTGAAGCTAAAGAAGCAATGAACAAGTGGACAAACAGAATTAAAATTTAATTCAGCCTTCCTTCAAGATACTAACGAACTCAACGAATTCAATATAGCTCTGAATAACAGGTTCCAAGCCTCACAATATGTACTGGAAGAAGAAACTACTATGGAGGACAACTGGAAAGGTATCAAAGAAGCACTAATTTCAACGGGTCAGGAGATGCTGGGGCGCAAGAAGCATCATCATAAGGAATGGGTCACTATCGAAACCCCGGGTATGATTCAAAGAAGGAAGAACAACAGACTAACAAGAGCAGAGAAAGCCGAGCTTCAGACCGAATACACAGAAGTAAATAAAAGAGTAAAGAATAGCATTAGAGCCAACAAGCGAAATTACATGGAAAATCTAGAAATGAGAGCGGAAAAGCTGCGAGATAAAGCAATATGAGACAGCTATATGATGCAACGAAAAGACTGTCAGGAAAATATAGTAAATCAGAGCGGCTAGTGAAAGATGAAGGAGGCAAGCCAATCACTGAGATTGAAGAACAGTGGAACAGGTGAGTAAAACGCTTTAAAGATCTCTTGAACAGACCAGCCTATCAGTTTGTGTTCTGTTGTCTCACTTGATCGATGGTTCGAATTCGATTTATCAAAAACTATCTAGATAGTGAATTGGTCACAGAATAAATATCCCAAGAAGCCACTCGTTTTCATCAACACACCACATATGCCGATAACTTATCAAATCATCCTTATTTACATATGATTATTTCTGTAGGTTTTTTTCATTTCGACATCTCAATATATTTGGGAAGTTAATGGAAAGATGGATCTAGTAACAGATTGAGATCTTCATATTTGCATTGATGTTTTGTTCTTATTAAGCCCTAATCAAATGTATCTCATATTCCACTACCTATCCAGGGTCTAAAGTCGAATGAACGTGTAAATCTAAATATTAGAGTCAAGCTAATTGAATTCCCACCAAATGCCTCGGTACGGATGAGAGTGGGGAGAGTCCGCTCTCCCTCTCGAAATTCTCTCACATGGCCACGTGTGTACAGACACTGACAGGGAAGTCTTAGTCACTGCCTTCTCGCGAACATTACTGTTGTTTACGAAATTGAGAGGACGAAAAGCGAGTGTCCGGCGCTTTAACCGGGTTGGTGGATATAAAGGATCCACCTAGGGGAGTTGGGAAACCCTGATTCTGAACCAGTGGTTCACATGGGCTCCCGAATCCTGGGGGGGCAAATGACGTGTGAACCCATTGTTGGTTACCGGCTGCCATGGAACTACATCTCCTCACGCTGCCTCACTGCCTTATGGATTAGACCTTTAGATCGAAGGCTCCGAGTATGGCCTCCTAAGGAATCCGCCTGCTTCGGTTCGGGCACCCGGGCAATATCACAGCCCTCACACAAATCAAATAAGATTTGTTTGGCGCATATGTATCTAGTGCCCCCTTGTACCAGTATTTATGTGTTCAAATAAAATAAAATAAAAATAACTAATTGAATTCATAAAAAGTTGACTAATTCACTTTTAAATTTTTGGTAGAGATCATGAATTAATCGATGTTAGACCACCGTTGGAAACCTGGAAGCACTGGACGGCCGTTTCGTCCTAGTATGGGACTCCTCAGCAGTGCGCATCCATGATCCCGAACCCCGCGGGATTCGAACCCAGGACCTACTGGCTTCGCGCCTGAGCACTTAACCATTAGACCACTGAGCCGGCATCCAATGGTGTTAGTGTCTAACATCAACCAATCCACGAAATTGCGCGACCACCTTCCATTGTACTGAGGTAGATACCTGTCTCTACCCGACACGGATTAGCTCCACTGGTCACGACTTCTCACTAGAACTCCGAGAATTCCCTCACGAAGCTAGTCACTAGTGAGCACATGTTAATTATCAGTATGGGGGTTGTGGAGATTGTTAAGTTTTTGGTTGAGATCATCATCAACAACACATTATGAATAAACCCTGAAAAATTATCAATCATTATCACTGTAATTACCATTACATTTATTCCTTCATTTGATTTTTTTCGTAGTTATTCGATGAATTTAATCCTGTCAATGTGAATGAATATGACTATGTATTCAGTACTCAAGCACATTTATTTCCAATTAAACGAATTCAAAATCTAGTGAAAAATCTTCATATGAATCCATTTTCTTTCCTCAATAACTCTCAGGGTTATGAATTTGTGAAAAACAGCTCTGTAAGTATTTAATTTCTTATTCATACGTTGAATTATTACTATTATTATTATGATAATCAGCTGTCATTGGGAGAATGACCATTTAGTTATTCAGAAACGTAGGACCTAGAACATGTATACATCGCAACACAGTGATAAAATTAACAAAGCCAATCATCGAATGGTTAGAATGATAGTAGTGTTAATGGTAATAGAAAACATTGGACATAGAAAATGATTCATATTCTCTGTCCTCCCATAATACACAGTCTGTTTAAGTTTCCAGTGTACTACGTATCAATAGTTAGAGTAGGAGACCTTTAATTGCATTTTTTGAAATGATTTTCATTCAGTTAATTAGTTTTTATCAGCTTTATTCCTCTTACACACATATATATCAATCCAAGTCCCAACATATTACATCATCATTAAGCGGAAGCTAACCAGATGAAAGGAATTGAGAAAGAAATGGCATCAGGTTCACCAGGAAGATATATTCAAAAAATACCAATTCCAAAGAAACAAATGAGGCAAGTTAAAGTATGCTTGGATTAACAGTTCAAAGTGAATTGAGTGAATGAATATAATTCCCCCCTCCACTACTACTGAATTTACACGATGTACCACTCAACATCTCCAATTATAAAAACTTGAATGCATTACTGTAATGAACGACAACTTCGTGGGAGAAACCAATTTATTGTTTAGTGCAAAATTAGTGTCTTCGTAAATTATGAAAATTATACATTAAATTCTTCGTTTGCACATCTTCCATCTGTTGTCCTTTACATCGTTCATGATTCTTCCAATTTCTTTCTATGCTTTTCAGTTCAGTCTTCTTTTGACAAGCATTCCACTTCTGATTGATGTTACGTACTACTTACATCTGTCAACATGAATAACATGCACACATTATTACCCGTGCATTAGGGGAGAGTTTACAGGGAAGATAGCAGATTTTTCTAAAAAGTGAAAAGAAAACTGTACCAATATTGGCAAACTGGGAAGGTGACTACAGAGCTCAAGGAACAAGTGATTAAGTCCAGCCACACAAAGTGATTTTGAGAATAGCTAATAATGTGTTATCTCCATACTTGTAAGGCCTTATCACAAGAGACAGGAATCCGTGAGCTAAGGTGAAAAGTGATATTTTTAGGATAGAGCTTTACTGACGTCTTCCTTCTATTATGAGAAGAAGGTATCATCATCATTATCACTGATTCTCACTGTGGTCAGAACACTCCACTGTCATCATACTCTAGAATCAGTAACCTTAACGTTCTCCAACCAATCTGTCTAGTATAGTAAGATCTCAAGATACAAGTCAGCGTTTTTCTGGTTAGCTTTTTTTTTAGCGAGTTAGTTTTCTACGGGATGGGGACGCTAACCCCATGCCCAACCCTCCTCCTTTATACGGGCTTGGGACCGGCAGTAGCCCCCGGAGGGACTCCAGGCGGAGTATTCTATCCATTATAGTTTGATTCAATCATCACCATTTAAAAAAATATATTTATTCATTTTTAGAGTTATTTTTCTATCCTGTAGAACTTGATTTCTCATTTGTTTTTTTAAAAAAATTATTTCTTCTATAGTGTCCCAATATTAAATTGACCACTTCTCAATATCCAATGAATGATGATCTTTGGAAAGCAACAGGTATTTATGTTAATGCAAAATTTGCTTCCTTACCCCAATATAAACTGTGATCTTTAGATGTATTCTTTTTTTCCTTTTTCTAATAATCATTATTTTGTTGTTGCTATGATTATTATTGATTTATTGGTGCACTTTTTAACCTTTTCTTTTTACTGGGAACTAAAAACAAACAAAGAAAGTAAATTATTACATTTTTCTATTGTTACATCATTACTATTTGACCTTAGTAACAATAATAATAATGATGATAATAATAATAATTATTATTATTACTATAATAAGTGAATAATGAGAATGACCAGCATATGTATCTTAAACTCATTAATATGTTCAATAATTTCTCTTCTTTAAAATGCTCAATTATTACTATTATTATTATTTGTTATTAAAAAAAATACGTAATGTATGTATGTACTACTTATTTACTTATTATTATTAATATTATTTTTGTAGTTATTAACCATAGATGCGATAATTATACTCAGGAGATTGTTCTCTTTTTGTTTTCTTAATGTCCAATAAATTGCCTTGTTTTTTTATTGATTGAATAATGTATTTAAAGACTTATATATGTATATGTATATGTGAAGGAAGAATATTCTTATCAACTGATTATGTCTTGTCGATTGAATGCTACTTGTTATATTTGGTCGTCACTGATTATTGTGTCAGAAACGCTTATCACTTATACTCGAAACGAGGGACGCGAAAGTAAGAACATAAAGATTGGTATAAGTGAAGATTTATTAACCCCCAAAACTTGATGATGATCTAGTCGAAAATACACTCATTTATGTGTTGATTGTACAGTCAGTCAACTACAATGTAGGATCAGGCACATATATGCATCGGTTCAAGTTGCCATACCTCATTAACACAACATGATGAACACTGGATTCATAGAAGTAGCTACTTCAATGCTAGTAATATATAAAAGAAAGACTGCATATTAGGATATAGTACAGGAAGAAAGAATTAGTTCGTAGAAATAAAGGTATAAAACAATTTTAATTTCATCGTTTTAGGAAAGACAGAGAGTGTATACACCTACGCCATTGTGATCGATCCTAAGCCATGTAACACACAGTCTCCAATCCTCGGTTATGGTAGACACGCGGACCCCAACCAAGTAGTCTTTATCTACCAACATGGCTCAGACCAAAAGTTAGTGACTTTATGAACTGATGGCACTGTTTGGTTTGGCCTCCCCTAACTTTCTTCAACACCGATTAGCATTGCGCGTCGTGGTAATAGGTTTTCAGGCATAGGCAACACGTGGCTCAACCATCTCAGTCAACGCGTTCGACTACTTCACTCCCTATTCTTAGTTCACGTGTTGACGCAGACCAGTTCTGAAGCAACAACTTGCATTTAGAGGGAGAGAAGCGCATTCCAAACATTCTAGCATTGTTGCTTAGTGCTACTAAAAGACCCTGCATTTTATCAGCGTCTTCACCGAACAGGACTATGTCATCTGCGTATTCTAAATCGATAAGTAGACCTCCTGGAAGGAGATCAATACCCGAGAATTCAGTCGACGAGAATGTTATTTCCATCAGTAGATCTATGATGAAGTTAAACAAAAATGGAGAAAGTGGACAGCCTTGACGTACACCACTTGAGGTTGTAAAAGCAGATGACAGTTCTCCATGTCAATTAAATACAAGAATATTGTATATGATACAGAATAAAATATCATACGAGCAAACCTAACAACTACTACACTGAATGATCATCATATTGAGTCAGAACAGAAGTATTGTTGAACAAAATTCATAATTAGTAAATCGATTGGCTTTTATTCTCGTTCTGTCATCAACAACTTCTTTTCAGGTTCTATGAATGACATTAAATTGAAATGAATAATTCAAATAGTGATTAGGTTTTAGTGTAAAGTATGTTGTTTTCAAAATATATAACCTTTTGAAGTTTACGATTGTTTGATCAAATACAATTGTTTACTGCCGAGATGAATAATATGCTTTGTTAACAATGGAATCAGCTTATAAGTTAAAATGAAATTTTGTTTCTTAAAGATTCATAATCACAATGTTTTGAACAGGAAAACAAGAAGCCCTGACAAACTAGGAAAGCTGTTTTTCGGGACGTTATTCCATTTTATTCAAACCTTGTGAAACACATTTATTTTTATCCCTAATCTATTCTACGGAACATAAGCTTTCGTCTGATGTATGGTTCATTGACATACCCGTTTTTGTTCCGAAGCTATTATAATTTAAACATTATATTTTACACCCTATTTTCTACTCTGATTCCTAGCTTTGAACGTAATTGTATTTTTCCTAATTACTGTACGTTGTGGTGGGTTTAGTCACCTATTTACTCATGTACATTTTTACACTAATCCGAAATCAGAAGAGAAACCAGAAATCGGGAATAGATCGAGTGGTTTTCCAATTGTCTTGTCTTCTCTCATTCTCGTGCTTGTCAGCCAATCAGGTGATAGAGTAGTTTCCTTCTCTCTACCCCACTTCGAACTCACGCGTACTGGCCTCAAGGTTAGGTCGCTCAGCCTATCGCGCCAAGGTCTTAATCTGGATTAGATAAGTATCCTCAGCACCAAAAGTGGGTAGACAGACCAAAGGACATAACAAAGAATAAAAATGAATAAGTTGGAAGAAATAATAGTGCAATTGTAAATTCCATTAGATAATTATGTGAAATTAGTAAGAAATAATAAAGATGAATACTAAGTAAGTGTACAATGTTATCAGAAGGGGTTTGCGGAGATTTTACTTAACCATTAGGCCAGTGAGCCGGCATCCAACGGTGTTAATGTCTAACTTCGGGATCGTGGATGTGCACTGCTGAGGAGTCCCATACTAGGACGAAATGTAGAATGTATTTGTAGAGGCAAATTTCCCCTATATCTGACTCCGATAAATGATATACCGTTAACTGAGTATTTAACGCTGGCTAAATCTCCTAGTAGAGTTATGGATTTACTCGAGATTGTAGTTGTAGAGATATTTTATTGTTAAAGATTGATGAAATCAGCAAGCAGGCTCATGATGAAACCAAGAGTGTGTGTGTTTTAAAAATCCATATATATTTTTGTGTTAATGAAGTATGGATAAATTATTGGTTGTGTGTGTATTACAACCAATGGGAGAATAGAATAAAAAATGACGTGCTCAATCAAACTCACACAGAAAATTACATGGTGGGTCAAGTGTCTAAATTACAGTGAGCAGATAAATAATACAAGAGTTGAATGGGCTTACTAAATATTTATCAAATTAGTGATAACTGTTTTCTTATAATAGTACTTAATTACGCCTGTTACGCCTCCTGAAGAAGCACAGGCCGCTCACCAGCATTCTACATCCAACCCTGTCCTGGACAATCATTTCCAGTTGTTATTCATTCTTTTCATATCCGCATCTATCTCCCGACATAATGTGTTCTTTGGCCTTCCTCTTTTCCGCTTCCCTTCAGAATTCCAAGTTAGGGCTTGCCCCGTGATGCAGTTTGATGATTCTTGTAATAGTACTGTTAATTATATAACATTTAGGTGATAGTGGCGGTTTATTGACAGGCTGAAATATAATTTGATATCCTTGCGTATTGTTGTGAAGGATCAAAGTAGGAAATATATGTGAATTTCATAAAACGATGCAGAGAATTTTGTAAACTAGTCGGAATTTCTTGATACCGTTGCCTCCATTAAAAAAATATCTACTTCAAATGAGATGATTCGTTCTGTTCAGCATCATCTGAGGTTTTTTTTAAAGAGTGATCCATTTTAAAAAAAATTATTAACGACTGCTGTTGTGATGGCAGGTGTACAAAATCTGATACTCATATACGATGTGCTACGTGTTAACCCCCCCTTCCAAGTAACTTCGTGGGAGAGAATACAAGAGCGAGTCAGAAAGGGTATTGGACTACCGAATGAAATGAACAAATACTCATTCATATATATACCACTCTAATCTTTAGGAAATTGATGCACTTCTTAACCAAGCAAATGCACTTATCCTTCAGGTCACTTCGGATTGATTCTTCATATTACCTTTCCCTTCTAAAAAATAAGTCTTGTTCTTTGAATGTAACTGATGGCGTTCATGGAAATGTCATCCTCTTGATGACTTTCTTGGGGTCTGGCCGTCACTTCTTCCTCACTGATTCTGATGCTTCAAAGTGACTGCCAATTAAATAATCTAGTTGCAGGTTCGAGCTGGGAGGTACTTTATCTGAATTTAATCGTCGGTCACGGATGAGGCATACATGTCGCTCACTAGCAAACTTGGGTTTATAATCTCACCTTCTCTTTGTGAATGTATGCTATCGAATGAAGGTCGAATCTTCCTTCCGAACACTGACTCGGCAGGAGAGATCGATTTCCTAAGAATCAGAGTGGTATATATATGAATGAGTATTTGTGCATTTTATTCGCTAGTCCAATGCACTCTCTCGCTCACTCTTTTGTTCTCGTCCAAGTAGTTAGTTGGGAGGTTAACGCGTAGCACATCGTGTATGAGTATCAGATTTCGGACACCTGCTGTCAGAACAGTAGTCCTGTAAGAAAACTATTTTCCTGACATTGGCAATCGCGGTATTGTTTCACTTCTTTCCAACGAAGCGATAATGTTTTTAGTGTTGCATGAATTTTACAACGTTATGATCTGTTACAAATATTTACAAGTTTAAGTTGGCCAACTTCACATAATAACAGGATAAAATTGACCGAGTCAAAGTAACGATATCAGTATCATCGCGAAGCTATACATCGATTTTTTATTTAAGACAAATTGAACTAAAAATTAACATTTAGTGCATACAATTGGATCACTGTGATCAGTTACACGTAGGCAGTTAATTATGTAGAACTCAATTTTTTCCCATTTTTCTGAGTAATTGTGCTTTTTATCGTTAATGATGCTATTGGGCTTTTGAAAATAATGAAGGTAGAGTATTTCTCTTTGTCTACATTAGCAAATGATTGGTAGTGAAGTGTAATTTTTAATGTTTATCTTGGAACTAATAATAGCTTATTTACTTGCTTACACCCGTTACTCCTAATGGA